CCCAAAATAGAAAGAAGGTGGCTAAGTTCTTCCCAAGATATTTACAAGTATGTACATCCCAAAAAGAAGCATAATCTTTGATTTACCAAGAACAAGTTTGAGGTGCTCAAAAGAAAGTCCCAAAAGATAACGTACGAGATAGGATATAGGGGTGGTAACCTAACACTCCAAATCTCTCACAACTTTACTACTACCCCACCTAAGAGCCTCTCGAAAGAAACTCAGACTTGTTACCTGTAAAATCAGTGCCTACACCATCGGAATGGTGCACCTGGCAAACAACAACCCGGATAAGCTACGAAGCTTGTGTGAGCGACAATAATACAAAGTAAGCATCAAATTGCTCAAGTAAAATAAGGCTCTCTATAAAAGAATTCATGGACTCGTATTGGTACGATCGATCAACCCTAGAACAATTAACTTGTTTGCTCCTAAAATCCACTGTCTGCAGCTGTGCAGATCGACCATCCTCAGCATGCATTTTAAACACTTGTTCGCCATTGCTTTTGAAAGCAAAGTGTTCCGGAGGAGAGTACACCAACTTATTCAAGGTTACGTTGTATAAATTAGTCCAAGATTTCACCACACCGTACTGCTACATGTTGCCATATCAAACGACACTACAACATGTTGGAATTTATTAGCTTTATTTAGGAAATTAATTAGAGATTTGATTTGATTTTGTAGTAGGGTATTTTTGGCATTTACGCATTAGGGTTTTTCTTAGGTTTATTGCTCTATAAATAGAGCTTGTAATTTAGTTTGAGAATAAGTTATTCACAATGTAACCTCTTGAGTTTTGTAGCCGTTTCAGCATTCTCTTTAGTTTAATAATATTCTTATTTTGTAGTCTTGTTTGTTCCGCGTTCGTTCATTGTGGTATGCGCATTTTGATGTTCAACTTGGTATCAGAGCGGGTTCAATCCGCTCTTGTATGGTATCAGTTTGTTTTGTCGCTTTTTGATTTTTGGTTTAGTTTTGGTCTCGTTTAGGCTTTCGCTTCCGCTTTGGTCTATGTCCTTTGTTCTTGGTCACTCTGTTTTTGTTCGTTTTGTCTTTGGATTTCTGTTTGTGTTCTTTGTCTTTGGATTTCGGTATTGACTGTCAAATCGTGGTAGTCTTAAAAAAAAAAAAAGTAAGTAGAAAGAAAGATTGAACCGTCTGCACCCGTTGCCGCACCGCAACCGCACTCTGACCTCTACCCGCATCACATCAATTCCTTTGTGATTATTTATTTATTTATTATTGGTATGAGGAAGATTCAATTCACATAGAGAAAGATAGAAGCAAAAATATGAGAAAAAGAGGAAAAGAAAAAAATTGAAAAGTTGAGATTTTAGGCCCACACGAGCATGAAAAGCTTGGTTGTTTGAAGCTACTGTTGCGCATGGTTTGGAGGCCCACAATGAGTTTGTTGATGATGTTTGACTTATTTGTTGTTGTTGACCGCAACAGTTGTGAACGTAGTGAATTGGATTTGTCTTTTGTTTGGAAGCTCGTAATTGGCATCGGCATTGGTATTAGCATCGACATCGGTATTGGCATTGTATTGGCATCGGTATTGGCATTGGCATCGGAATTGGAATTTGGAGTCTTGCATCCACATCTACTTTGGAAAACTCATGTCGTGTTCCGCCATGAGTTTGATGGGAGATGTTGGAATTTATTAGCTTTATTTAGGAAATTAATTAGAGATTTGATTTGATTTTGTAGTAGGATATTTTTGGCATTTACGCATTAATGTTTTTTTTAGGTTTATTGCTCTATAAATGGAACTTGTAATTTAGTTTGAGAGTAAGTTATTCACAATATAGTTTCTTGAAGTTTTGTAGCCGTTTCGGCATTCTCTTTAATTTAATAATATTCTTATTTTGTAGTCTTGTTTATTCCGCATTCGTTCATTGTGGTATGCGTACTCTGATTTTCAACTCAACATCTTCGCCAGAGCTTTGATCGCGGGGCAGAAGCCAGTGCACAGCACCATTGACGAAAACACTCCTAGGACATGGGTTGTAGTTATTACAGAAAGCATGGCAACCAGGAAAAGAAACAGCAGGTGGAGCTGGAGGAGGAGGGCTAAGAATCTTCCAGGAGCCTCTGGCTAAGGAGTAAACCTCAACCCCATACGGGGTGTTCCCGGCAGGATCAAAAGAATGTTCATTACTAAAAATGATTCTCAATAGTCGTTGGTGCGCAAATCGTAGCCAAACGAAGTGGAAATATAATAGGGCAAGTTAATAACGTTGTCTTCTTCTTCTTCTTCGTTGGTCCAAGGGATGGTAATGGTAGAAGGGGGCAAGGTCACTAATTTCCTAACCGAAGGGTTCCAAATTATTGCGGGGACTTCGGGGGTGAAGTCCTCATCATTAGCAAGGCATATGATGCCGCTGCAAGTCCCGGCCAGATCGTAACCAGAAGAAGTAATTTCGCCGTGAGTCGAACGGTAAGTGAAATTAGTTATAACCTTGCTGTTGGTACTATCAAATCTAAGGAAAGATGCAGAAACAGAAGCAGGCTTATCCCAATACAGCAAGTATCCCTTAAAATGGAAGGGTCTTTTAGTAGATGGAGACTACCGACATCATCATCAGCAGCAAGTTGGTTATCATCATTATCAGCAACTTGGATTTGGTTGAGAAGGAGGCGGCGGCGGAGATGGGCGTCAATGAAGGAAGGGCTTTCTATCAGATATTTCCAAGACATACACACCGCGGTGCACTTGATTACAGATTTTACCGATGGCAACCTTACCAGGATTTCGCCTATGATCTCTTCGCGGAATAATTTCCCATCAAATTTGGAGCAGTCGGTCGTTTTTACGTCGGGTAGATACTGGAAGGCGGCGTCGGTGGTGGCGGTCTGGTGGTTCTCCTCTACCGACGAAGACGACAACTTCCTCTCCTTCAAGGGAGGTGTTGGTGGTGAGCTGCTGGAGGCCATGTTTGTTTGGTGGTTTTGATTGAATTGAAAGTTGTGGAATGGGATCCCTATTTACAGTGCCAATAATCTGCAGTGGATTTGGTTACCGTAACGTGAAAGGAAACATGTAGTCCTCGAGTTGATCGACTGGAGTTTATTCCTACGTTGACCGGGAAGCCAAATCTACTTAGAAAACCAAATCCGAATTAGAAAACCAAATCTACGTTCACAATTTCAAGCTTTGAATGTAACAAGCAAAAAAGCACCGCGCGATGTTGCGGGTTTATAAATCTATACACACAACTACAACAATATTTACAATTCCATTACTACATATATACAACCATATTTACAATCCTAGTTATACATAATACTAATCAGCATTTCTGAACTTCCTTGATCAACACGTCAGAATTGTTGTCTCTCATATGTATGTTTCTCTGTTACAAATTCAAAAGACAGTTGTTCTCTTGGTGCTTCATCAAACTTTGTTTTGCAAATGTAGGGCATTCAGGCAACACATATCCATCACCAGCATAAAAAATATTTTCATTAAACATTTCTATGCCATTTGAAATGCCAAAAGTATGAGATTCTTGTATTATTAGATCTTTTGCTATTCCTAGTTATTTTCGGCATAATGTGCAAAAAATTTAAAAACCTCAAGCAACAGATTGATAACTGGGAAGAAAAAATTTAACATGCTTAAATAAAATTTTAATTTTTCAATGACACATAAATTGTAAATAAATAAAGAAAATGAACACTAATCATACCACAAAAGTGCAAGTTTTCAAAACCTACAATTTATAACTAATGTGCAATATTTTTTTAAAGAAATGAGTGTCAAACTAACCTATAATCACAGCAGTTTTGAATTACTTCCAAAATAGATACACAAAAGCTGTATAAGATCACCTATCTAAGGTAGGAAAACAGGAGAAAAAATGATGAAATAACAATTAGGCAATGAGTTCCTTTTAAAAAAAAAAAGAAGTGTGATAATGAAAAAAAGAGTTAATAGGCCCTAATATTGCTGCACCAATTCAATTGTACAAACGAACATCTGTTTGTGATCAAGAGAGAGAACCAAAAAAATCTACTGAGTTCTATAATGATGAAAAATGAAAGAAATTTAAGAAAGTTTGTAATGTTGTAATGATCAAGAATCTGCTTAGAAGGTTAGGATACAATCACAAAAGTACGGACTTTAAAATGCCACAATATTTAACAACTACTATGCTTAGTTCTTAAAAAAATTGAGTATAAGGCTAACCTTTACAACACACCTATGAGTTACTTCTATAAAGAGAGAGAGAGAGAGGATCCTTGTTGGATCCTCTTTGTGAGGATCTTTGGGATCTTTCAATCACATCCGTTCATCGTACATCGTGCGATCAGTTTTCGTCAAGTAATGTTTATATTCAATATTAGACAACAACAATACCATGATTTCTGACCACACGATGTACGATAAACGAATGTGATTTGAGAATCTTCGAAATCTTCACAAAAAAGATCCGGCGAGGATCCTCACCCCTAAAAAGAGATGCACAAAATTTGACAACAGTACCTATCCAAAATATTAAAAAAAAACACTAATTAAAACAATTAGGCAAGAACAAAAAAATGCAACCCAATAAAATTGAAAACAACAAAACACAACCCAAAAAAATTGAACCAAATCCACAATCGAAAAGCAAATAAGTCACAAAAACAGACTAATTGGTGCTAGTTATTGATTGGACATGCTAATTTGTGATCATAATTCAATCACTGGGGATGGTGAAGTCAGTGATCTATCATAAAGGTTTGGAAAATATAAAGATTTTTGCTCCCATTTATTCTGTGTTATACTTTCTCTCCATATAAAAGTTGGTTCTGATATAGTTGTTATCATCTCTTCTGTTTCTTTAGAATAAAAAAGTTATTTCATTCCAAAATACCTAAAACATCGGTATGACCTCCAGTGGAACTGGTGTCCTTTGTAATTATATAGCTGGTATATAATTTCTCACCTCAGATCTTTAATATTTAGGCGCTTATTTAAGCTAAAAAGCATAAATAAAAGATGATCCAATTCAAATCATCCAATAGACGACCTGTTTTCAGCAATAAACGGCAGAAGTTTGTTTTCAATAAAATGAAGAAAATACATTTATCCATTGTGGCATTATTGCAGACATAAAACATTATAGGAGTGTCTTGGACTTGATTAACAAAATTTACATGTTGGTTAGCCTTCTCCTTCTTCCCACAACAATATTTTTCAATATGCCCCACCTTATGGCAATTATGACACTTAGGCTTATCCTTGAACCAACATTCACCAAAATGCAGCTTATCACAGTGTATACAAGGATTCTTGGCTCCTTCAGAGGTACCTGCATCTTTTCCAGCTTGATTTGTAGGTCTATTACCCCCTTTCTTCCACCCTGACTTCCAATTCTTATGTGGTTTGAACCCTTGATTCCCGTTGTACTTATTTTGTTTTGGAGCAATATTAAGACTAACAAATGCCTTCTCAGTGTGAATCTCATCATGCGTATCAATTCTTTGTTCATACCCCTTTAGAATAGCAACAACATCTTGAACATCAACAGTGTCTAGATCCTTAGTATTTTCAATCACAGAAGCAATACTATCATATGATCTAGGTAAGCTTATCAGCAACTTTTGAACAACTCTCTGATTGCTAATATCTTCACCATAACTCCTCATTTGACTAAGCAAATCAAATAGCCTAACTAGATATGCAGAGAAAGTTTCATTTTCACCCATTCTAGTATATTCAAAATCACGGCGTAAGCCTTGGAGTTTCACAGCTCTTACCTGTTTATCTCCCACAAATTCTTGCTTCAGGACATTCCAAGCTGCATGTGCAGTCTCTTGGATGGCGATTCTCGGAAAGATCCGATCGGAAACTGCCCCTTGGATGATTCCTAGTGCCTTTGCATCTTTGATTATGTTCTCCCTCACCAGCTTGCTCTCAGCTTCAGTGAATTCTTCATCCTTCTTCGCCGGAGTAGCGAAACCCTTCTCGACAACATCCCAGAGTTCATGAGATTGGAATATGGTCTTCATCCGAATCTGCCAAAAATCGAAGTTGTCTCCATTGAATACCGGTGCTTGAAGATCAGCACCACTTGACCTAGCCATATGAGACTCGATTCAAGATCACTGAGATTTCTTCTCTGAATTTTCCTTCAGCAACAAAGCTCGATAATCAGTTCGAGTTCTTTGATGCGCTCTTCACAGATTCACGCCTAGTTGCAGATGGTGCAACCTGGCTCTAAGGCCATGTTAGATTGTGTGATTTAGTGTACTGTGATTCAATGGATATAAGAAGGAATTTTTGGAAGAAGAATTGAATAATTTCAGAGAGTTTCACAGTGATGGACGCCTCACTTATTCATTGAATTGCTCACTCTCTCTCACACAAATCAATCCAATATTACCGTTTCAACTAGAAGGAATATTACCCTTCTCTCTCTTCTAAGAGAATGAAACAATCCTAGCCCTTCATGACATCTATCCTATGAGATAGTTACAAGTGTCACAAAATATCACTAACTCTAATTAATCTAGAGCATTCATTTGGAATATGATCCAAGGGCTCTGATTAAAACAAATAAAACATAAACTTATTTAAGCTAAAATCACTTAAATACCAACACGTCGTACAAATACGGGCACAAAACGAATGCACGGTACTTATTTTGAAGATACACTTCATCCTTGGCCAAAGAAAAGAAACGGGGCAGGCAGAAAACAGTACATAATAACGAAAACAAAAACTCATCTACTAAGAAGCCAAGCTACACAATCATGTGCCGTAATAAAAACAAATTATTGCGAATTGACGAGATTCGTTGCAGCTCTCGATAACTAATGAAATGATAAGCCCATGAGGGGTTTATTGCGGGAGGGTTCAGTTCACTATCCCCAACAAGTATTCACCTATCAAATGTTAATTTCGGGCGCAATAATGGTCAGGTGAATTAGGTTGAAATACCATTTCTTTCTCTTCTCCAAAACGGTGTTTTAAGCATTGGATTGATCAAGTAAAACAAGGCTCTCTACAAAAGAATTCATGTGTACTGAATGAGGGGTGGGCACTTGGAACCGAAAATCGAAACTGAAACACGAATCGAATTAAACCGCACCAAACGGTTTGGTTTTGCGGTTTTGAAACGGTTTCGGTTTCAAAACCGAACCGCGGCACACAAAACGGTTTGGTTTCGGTTTTGGGTTTTCAAAACCGCACCGAAACCGAAACCGCACTTTTTTATTTTTATTTAGTTCATTCAACTAGGTTTAGGTTATACTTATACATTTGGTTTGCGGTTCTGGGTTTGCGCCTCCTTGCATCTCCGCATTTGGCCTTTGCGAGCGACCTGGTCACCTGACTGCGTGCGAGCGACTACCTGCGAGCGACTGCCTTTGCGAGCGACCTGGTCACCTGACTGCGAGCGACTGCTTCTGCTTCTGCGACTGCTTCTGCTTCTGCGGCTTGCTTCTGCTTATGCGGCTTGTTTCTGCTTCTGCGATTGCTTCTGCTTCTGCGGCTTGCTTTCATCTCTGCCTTGCCTCCAATCTTGGAGTCGACACACGCAGAGGTAAAAATTTCTCATCCTCTGTCTTCAATTTCATATATGTTGTTAGATTAAAGGGGAAAATATGAGAACAAACTCATGCACTGAATCATGATTGATAATTTAAAATGTGCATTTCTTTCGAATGTTAGGCAGGTTTGGGTTTGGCAAAGTAAGTAATTTTTTTTCGAAAGTTGAGATATTAGTATCAAAATTGTCTGGTCTACTTGGGTTAGGCAGGTTTCAGTGTTGTACACTAGTTTTTCTATGTTCGTAATTTCGATTGTAGTAGAGGAGGAAGAGGAGGATGAGGTTTTTTCTGGGTCCGGTGAGTTTATGTTTCTGTTTCTGTTTGGTTGCCGAGAAAATGAAAGAAAATTGAATAAAAGAATCCGATATTTTTCACGTTTATTTGGTTGGGATGTTTGGAAATGGAGAAAACGAGCTGAAAATCGAAGATTGAGGAATTTCTATTTTGGGAATGAATAAAATTTGGAAATTAAATTCGTGAATTGCTTTGAATTTTGAATAATTAATTTTGGTGCAGGGATTTGAAGAGGGAGAATATAAAGGTTTTTGATTGAAGGCGACGATGGCTAGTCAAGGCGGTTCTTCGAAGAGAAGTTTGTCATTGACGAACACATCGTTGCAGGACAAGAAGAAACCCTTTGATGCTAGTAACGGAGGCCCTTCAGAAAATGGTGCAAGGTTAGTATTAAATGAGAGGAAAATTTACTTCTTGGCATACGATCTTATTGTGGTTTGCTCTTTCTACATGATGATTTCTGCATTTATAGGGAAATTCAGACATTTGCCTGTTGTGGAGAATGGAGAGGTCATTGCTTTACTTGATATAGCAAAGTGTTTATATGATGCCATTGCTCGAATGGAAAGAGCAGCTGAAAAGGGAAAGGCTATTGCTGCTGCTGTGGAAGGTGTTGAAAAACATTGGGGCACATCTGGTTCTGGTTAGTAGAGAGTTTAGTGTTTTCTTTAGAACTTTATGTCAGAGTCTTAAGATATTTTTGCAGTTTTGGAGGAATATCTGTGTTTTTTTTTGGTAGACTTGCGTGATGACGAGTAGTCAGTTTTCTGAAGAAAAAAAACAATATTAACTTAATGCTATTTTTTCTTTTGCAGTTTTTTGGTGCAGTTTTGTGCAGTTTTTTGGTGCAGTTTTGGTGCAGTTGTGGTGTAATTTTTGCTGCTGTTTTTTGTGCAGTTTTGTGCACAAAAACCATTTGAAACCGAAACCGAAACCGTTTGAAACCGCACCGAACCGAACCAAACGGTTTGGTTTCATTTCGGTTTTGGCTTCAAAACCACACCGCACCGCACCGCAAAAAGTTTCGATTTCGGTTGTGATTTCACTCGAAACCGCACCGCGCCCACCCCTAAAACAGCGCTCTCATGTAAGAAAACGCTACGTGTGTTTCTCAAAGGTTCGGTAGCTCAACCTCACCAAACGATTCAGTGGCCATATCAAACGGCACTATGGCCTCTTCGCCAGAGCTTTTATCGCGGGGCAGAAGCCAGTGCACGGAACCATTGACAAAAACCTTCCTAGGACGTGGGTTGCTCTTACCGAGAACCCGACAACCAGGAATAGAAACAGCAGGAGGAGCTGGAGGAGCTGGAGGAGGAGGACTCCAGGAGCCCCTGGCTAAGGAGTAAACCTCAATGCCATACGAGGTGTTTCCCGGCTGGACCACAAGAAAACCCGTCACTGAAAATCCTCAAAACTTTAGTTATTGAATCACCGTCTGTCCAGAAGAAAAAGTACATTAATTAGTGCACTTCATTTGCAACTATTTATCATACTGAAAAGCCCTTCAAACATCAATCTATAGAAAAATCCATCACCTATCAACTGATCGCATGGCTACGATGGCGTGACCGTTGGCTAACAGTCACATTTCAAATTCTTTTTTTTTTTTAAAACTTTTTTACACTTCATATGATTGGGATCAAATAAGACCAGATCCAACGATAAAAATTAAAAGCATTCAACAGCTCAAATTTAATGGTTACAATTTTTTAAGAAATAATTCGGTCTAAATCCTAATATTCTAAGCCCCGTGCATTTGGAGATGGTCTCATTGTCAAGTGCATTGACAATTGGGCTAAAAGCCTTTTTTTCTTCTTTTATTTATTATTTTTTATTTTTGAAGACTTGCATATATACATATATTCGTAAAGCGTATTGCTAGGGAGACTAAATTTGTAGACAAAATTTTGAAAACTAAAGGACATGAAAGTTGATGATTGGTTTATTACTTAAGCATTGATAAAAATGTTCATTCTTATTGATGACACATCACTTAGTTTGTCTCTCTAGCATTACCCATTTGTAAAAGATAATTAAAACAAAAAAAATAATATATTTATCATCAATACTTTTATAATTCCAAATCCATACATTTGAAGGAATGTAACACAATAACTTGAAGAAGGAATGTTAATTTACAAGTGAAAAGAAAGTGCTAACTAATTAAATCCAGAAAATTACTTGTTGCTTGCTCGCTGCTGCTTCTGCTTAGTAAGAATAAGCATCAGATTGGTCAAGTAAAATAAGGCTCTCTGCAAAAGAATGGAATAGGATTCTCTCCCCTCCTATTTCTTTCATTTCCTCTCACACTCTTCTTTTTGTCTTATTCTCTATATAAAAATTTCACAAGATGTAGACGTAGCGTAATCGCAACCATTTAAATAGGAGGGAATGAAATGGGAGAGAGATTAGGAGAGGAGAGAATCCTACTTCCAAAAGAATTCATGGACTCGTATTGGTACGATCGATCAGCCCTAGAACATTTTACTTGTTTAGTCTTAAAATCCACTGTCTGCATCCATTCAGATCGACCATCCTCAGTAGGCACTTTAAACACTTGTTCGCCATTGCTTTTAAAAGCGAAGTGTTCGGGAGGAGAGTACACCAACTTGTTCAAGGTTACGTTGTATAAATTAGTCCACGATTCCACCGTACCATACTGTTGCATGACCCATAACTTGTCATCACAAACGTTAGCTCTTTCCCATTGCATCTTAACAAAGGCAAGGGAATCCTCATATACTGAAACAACAAGGTCGTCATAAGGTAAACCGGCACCTGGTGTTTTTATCAAACGTTTCGGTATCTTAATTAATCTCGCCAAATGATTCAGTTGCCATATCAAACGACACTACAACATCTTCACTAGAGCTTTGATCACGGGTGCACAGCACCATTGACGAAAACATTCCTAAGACATGGGTGGTTGTTATAACAGAAAGCATGTCAACCAGGAAAAGAAACAGCAGGTGGAGCTAGAGGAGGAGGACTAAGAATCTTCCAGGAGCCTCTGGCTAAGGAGTAAACCTCAATGCCGTACGGGGTTCCCGGCAGGATCAAAAGAATGTTCATTACTAAAAATGATTCTCAAAACTTTGTAGTCGTTGGTGCGCAAATCGTAGCCAAACGAAGTGGAAATATAATAGGGCAAGTTAATAACTTTTTCTTCTTCTTCTTCGTTGGTCCAAGGGATGGTAATGGTAGAAGGGGGGCAAATTATTGCGGGGACTTCGGGGGTGAAGTCCTCATCATTAGCAAGGCATATGAGGCTGTTGCAAGTCCCGGCCAGATCGTAATCGGAAGAAGTAAGTTCGCCGTGAGTCGAACGGTAAGTGAAATTAAGCAGGCTTATCCCAATACAGCAAGTATCCCTTAAAATGGAAGGGTCCTTATAGTAGATGGAGACTACCGACATCACCATCATCATCATCAGCAAGTTGGTCATCATCATTATCAGCAACTTGGTTTTGGTTGAGGAGGAGGCGGCGTCGGAGATGGGCGTCAATGATGGACGGGCTTTGGATCAGATATTTCCAAGACTTGCACACGGCGGTGCACTTGATCACAGATTTTACCGACGGCAACCTCGCCAGGATTTCCCTATGATTTCTTCGAGGAGTAATTCCCCATCAATTTTGAAGCAGTCGGTGGTTTTTACGTCTAGTAGATACTGAAAGGCGGTGTCGGTGTTGGCATTCCGGTGGTTCTCCTCTACCGACGAAGACCACAACTTCCTCCTCTTCAGGCGAGGAGGAGTTGGTGGTGAGTTGTGTGGTGGCCATGTTGTTTGTTGTTTTTGATCAAAAACTCTGCTGCGCTTTTTTCACTACAAATTTAGGCGCTTATTTAAGCTAAAGCATAAATAAAAGATAACCCAATTCAAGTCAACCAAGAGATGAACATGTTTTCAGCAATAAATGGCAGAAGTTTGTTTTCAATAAAATGAACAAAACACAGATCAGATAGCCAAACTGAGAGCCTTGTCATACATCGTCATACAAATATGCCACAATACGAATCCACGGTACTTATTTTGAAGATATTCTTCCTTGGCCAAAGAAAAGAAACGGGGAAGGCGGAAAACAGTACAGAATAACGAAACAAAAACTCATCTACCAGGCAGCCAAGCTACGACAGTCATGTGCCGTAACAAAAACAAATTATTGTGAATTGACGAGATTCATTGTAGCTCACGATCACCATAACGAATGATATGATGAGCCATGAGGGGTTTATTGCGGGAGTGTTCACTATACCCATCAAATGCACAATTTTTTCAAAGACGGGGGCACCTTCATATCGTTTTGAGCTACAATTGCATTATATTACTGCTCGCGCTGGCGTCTCAAGCTGTCTTGCAACAGGGCATTTTTTCTTGCACATGCCAAGATGGTTTTATCAACGGTGATGAAGTATGTAGAAATTGTTGCTGTTCATCAAATAAATTAAAATGTCAAATTTTTCATGGACCAGACAATCAAAGCTCTATGAGGAAGAATTAATACTTAAAAGCTCTATCTGGTAAGTAAATTGCCACAAAGCTAGAATCTCTGTAAGCCATGCAAAAAAAATTAAATAATTAAGTCATACCAGCACTGATGATGAGTGCTTGAGCGGTGTAGTTGAGGTTATACTTTGCCCAAGGTACCGTACGAACAGCACCCAACTGGGAATATGAAGAACAAGTAAATAGTAGTCATTAAAAAATATACCAAGATAGCAAGATCTCCCTCGAACTCAGGGTAAAAAACAGACTAGTAAAAGATATCCTAGACTCCTAGTGTAAGAGGCTCTCAATGCAAAATGGGCCAATCTGGAAAGGACACAACATACACAGCCATACCCATTATTCTCAGAGAGGGCTATTTCTATGACTCGAGACGACGACCACCCAAGTTTGGAGCAAGTCCACCAAGACACAGCCTCCAAACATATACAATCTGTGTGAACTATACTACAGAGTTACTACTGACCTAAATTTTTTAAAGACAAAAGCTGCAAGACCATTTCCTTTTTCCCACAGACAACCATACAATTTTGTTAGCACTCCATTTTCAAGTTCACATGGAAACCCACGGACATTCAAAATTCATAGATGTTTGGTGAATTTTACACTCAACTACGAAGGCAATACCAACAAGTTTAAGAGCATAACCCAAGAGGACATGAAGAATAAAAACAAGCAGTAGCAGAGACTAAGAAACGAAGAATAGGATTCAGTTTTGTTGTTCAAAGGCAGTGGTTATACAGCCTACCAATTTCTAACAAACAAATAAAATTATGGAAAGCTGGGGAACGCTACACATACCGTAGCCACACTTGAGATAACAGCCGCAACAGCACCGTACTTGAATCCCTCCTGAACACCCTCTGCAGATAATGAAAATGTTAAGTGATATCGGACATTGTCCAAATGTCACATGTATTACCTATTATCACGTCGTAATCAATTAGCCATAAGTCTCTCTCTACAAATACGTTGCTGATGAATCGATCTACCGCACATACACTCTACTCAACTAGAGATGAACTTAAAACCAATTGGCAATGGGTAGCAATGCCCAAGATCAGTTAAAATATGAAGCAAGGCTTTAACTATCCCATGTGGGATTCCCACTCTCAACACGCCCTCTCACACGTGGGGTCACTCAAACCAAACACGCGAGCAACCCATGTCGAGTGATCGAACATGCATTCTACTCAATAGACATGAACCTAAAGGCTATAACCAATTGGCAATGGTGGGGATGCCCAAGATTAGTTAAACTATGAAGCACGGACCTAATAAACCGCTGTGGAATCTCACTCTTAACACGCTTCCTTACATGCTATCGCGTACGGCGGTTGGGCCTTACACGCAAATACACTACATCATATACTCCAGATAATGTAAGCATCCA